ATAGTCACCGATTATTTTAATAGTCGATTAGTCATCGATTAGTCGACTAATCGTGGCAGCCCTACACTCTATAGAAGCCTGAATGACTGCAGATATTCCTCGCGGAGAGTCTGTGAGCACCTGTGACGCGCAGGAGAGAGAGGGGGTGGGGGTGGGGCGGGGACTGAGCTAGGGGGTGCGAGTGCGCATGCGCCGAGGCCTCTACTGTAGCCTGGGGAGTCGATAATGGCGGACAGTTTAGTCTCGAAGAAATCAAAGAATGCGCCACTATGGCAACACTTTGACTTTGAGCCAGACGAAGGAGGCAACCCTTGTTTGCACTGATTGAGTAAGCTAAACCTGCAGATTTATTTGTAAGGAATAAAAGAAACAACGTGTTACTGTCACTCTGTTGTCATATGGCCGTTTTTTATTTTAAATTAGTCAATTGCGTCCCCAAGTGGCGAAAATCCTGTATTACCGACTTGATGCGGTTTTTCACAAAAACTGGACCGTTTGTTTTTTTCTCATACCGACCCAACCCTAGTCCACACTGACATTAAAATATGAAGGCAAAAGAAAAATTTGTTTATAAAATCTTTAACCCTATGGGCCCTAGGCGTTTTTGGGGTATTTTTACTGCCTTTACTTTTAAGCTCATATCACAGTCATTATAAAGGCTACATACACATGCTATATCTTGTTTTTTTCAGGGCAATCTGGGCTAACCAGATTTGCCATCATTTCATGTCCTACTATGTGCCTGTATTTTATATTAATTTTTATATCAATGAAAAAACAAATCCGTGTGACTAAATTCTTACATTTTTACATGTATCTCACCATAGCAAGTTGGAAAAAGACATATTCTGCCATATGTGAAGAGGGGAGTCTCTGGAATCTGGCAATATAAGAACCATGATGCTGGGACATTCTGTCACTTCACAGTTGTCCAAAACATGTGGTTTGTGCCAGGCGGACATGATTGCCAGTGTTTTTTTCATTATTGCAAGAAATTCCATTGACTCATTCACAAGTCAAAAATGTGTTTTATCTGAAAGAAACATGCAATATTTACATCTAATATCATAGAAAAATAATCAACCCAGTGCCATGATGTCCTCCAAGATAATATTTGCCACTTTGTTTGCAGTAAACAAAGTTTGTTGTTGTTTTTCAGTTTCAGTCATATATTGGGGGGGGGGGGCACATGTCCCCCTCAATGGTGACTACGGCCCTGTCATCCATGCATAATTAGGCTACAGCTGTCTGGGTGCGCAAAGGTGAAGTGGCTGGTCTTGTCATACAAAGTTTGATGGAGTGTCAGCTGGACAATATGGAGATATTTGCATCTTGAAAGCCAGACTACAAATGTGGATAGACAGGGAGAAACACATGCAAGCCTAAGACGTGGTAAGATGCGATATTCCTCACTATATGAATTGACTGATAACAAGATCTGTATAATGGATTGTAAAGAAATTCGTCAGGTTTTTATTTTGTAGACAATTAATCTGGATTTATAGCATGATGGGATGACAGCACAATGATGTGTGTGGTATCATTGGAAAGCTCTGCTCCTGCGCTTTCATGTGATATGCGTGGCATTTCTGTGCGACCCTGCATTCACGAGTAATCCAAGAGTAATGTGTGTGCAGAGCTGTATGAAAGCTCTGTTATATATAATTTTAGTGTAACTTTATTATTATTTTTCGCTGTGAAAACATTGGACTACCGACAAGTGCTTTGTCTTGTTGGAAAGCTATGATTCCGCTGTTTCACGTGATATGTGTGGCTTCTCGCTATGACGGTCTCGGAGAAAATCCACAGAGAAGAACTGGTGTGAATTTGGACGCACTATGTGTCGTTCAGGCCCATACGGTTAATCTATCAGAAATGAAACCTGTGATGGAAGAATGGTACATGTGCTGCTGCCAGAGGAGACACTGAATGAGTTCCCTCTGAGAGGTAAGTCGCTAAAAGAGTCTGAGAAGTCCGGGGCTGTTCATAAAACATTAAGTCACTCACTCACAAGTTCTGCAGCAACACATGTTGCACGTGCTACGCTAAATCACGGACGTGAACCAGCTCCTCTTGCTCCGCTGTCTCTGTGCTCGCAGCCATTTTCACACTGAGGCAGGTGCGATGACGTCATCGACGATAGGACGGTAGAGCGCAAATCTCTACCGTGGGCCAAATTTATATCATTTCTACCGTCTACCGCATATACCGTGCAGCCCTAGGTTGTTCCAGTTTTAAGTAGATGGCTTCTTTCATGCCTCTTTCAAACCATCTGTCTTTTCTGGCCAAGATGTGACCGTTGCTGTCCTCCAAGGAATAGTAGGCTATATTCTGTATGCCTTCATACTTGACGGATGTATTATTGAGTCTAGTTTGCCTAATTTTCTGAGCCTCAGAAATAAAACTTGCCATACTTTGCCACTCAGTCCACCTTCTCATTTTCGTTAAACACCACTTGGTGGATGTATTGCTGGGGACCTGAGGACGTGCGTTGTCATCTTTGGTGCAATAGGGACACAAGACACTTTCAGTTTTAATAAACTTTTAATAACTTTGAACAAGTGGACAGCCTTCTGAGGCTACACTCTAAGTAGTATACCCTTGAGCTGTACAAAAAAATAGACTCTCGGTCTCTCACTCTCAGGTGTGCCGTTAAGTTGGTCATATTCGCTCTTTTTGTTGAGATGGTTCTAGAACAAACACGGCACACCGGCTCGTCCAAATTACTGCCCCCCCCCCCCGTCATTTGGTTTAAATCCAAAACACTTGCACACAGGGGCAGTGGCATTTGGTTTAGGAACAAGTTCCCTGTCTTTCTCTTATGCTCAAGTCTCTGTTTTCTTCTCCACCTCGTCTCCCCCTCATGAAGATCGCACTGTGTGTGTTTGTGTGTAGCCCACAGCCCCGCCTCCTCCACAGAGACAAAGACACTCGATGACAAGAGCTTTCCCTCCGTTCATTACACTAATGAAGCAACTCACCTGGCTGCCAGACGATGCACGGCAGTGAACGCTCTTGTCGCCCAGTCTCTTTGGTGGAGAGAGACGAGGAAAACAAACACGCATGAATATGTCAAGTAATCACGGCCGGAAAAGTTACCATCTTCCTTTTAATTTACCATGCAATTAACCGACTTATCGCATATCGCGACAGGCTTAACCACAATTCAGTATTCTATATATTGTCTTAAGAAGTCCTAGGAAATGTGAGCTAAAGCCACATTTTCACCAGCACTTGGTGTAGTACCCTTAGAACTGGTACATAACCCGTACCGACATTAGGGCTGTAGTCTCCTGGTCGACTAGTAGATTATTTGGTCGCTATGCTCTCGTCTGACCAAATTCTCATTAGTCGAATAATCGCCGTGTTACTTTCATAAGGAGAAAAGTGCTACATCAACAGCTTTCCAGGATTAATCCATTATTTCCTGTGGCGGGGGTACAGGCTAAGTTACCTGTGAAAATGGGGGTGTTTTCAAAACACCCCCGTTGTTGACAGAAAGTTGGACTCGCCCACCCTCACGCTCAGCGTTGCGGTGACACAGACCTCCTGGCTGTTTCTGTATACTGACACCATTTCCCTCAGTTGAAATGGAGCTTGTATTTATTTGTATTTTACAGATAAGAAACAATAAATTGTGAAGACAGTAGTGATCGTGAAATCGAAGCTTCATGAAGCAGTGAACCACTTTGACACACCTGCTTCAAGAATGACACACTGCTTTGAAGCATTTCATACAGTCGGAAGAGTGACATCTGCTGGCTGTGTGTCAGAACTGCATCTAAGTGGAAGACCTGGAAAAGCCTCAAGACTGCCTGTAACGAGGCCTCGCTCCCGGTAGTCACGTGATTGTGGGTGTGCCGAAGCAGGGATCGAAACACTGCCTCGGAACACTTGCGCTTCAAAAGATCGACACTGTGTCGAGCAAACTGGCTCGAGCGTAACATCTCTAGAAGACAGTAAAGTCTCCACTAAAATAGCATTTTAAGTCGTGTGTGTGATTTATCCTTCAGGGATTTATACTTCAGGATTTATCCTGGCTTCTAATGAACAGAGGAAATCTCCGCTCGTCGCTAGGCTAATGTATACAATGTAAAATGCCATAGGCTGGCACTACTAAAGTTACAGGGCTGCCAACTCTCACGCATTGGCCATGAGACACACAGATTTGATTGGCTTCACACGCTCTCACGCCACACCCCCGATTTCTCACGCTGAAGTGTCCGTCTGAGCTGGCTGTCGGCGTCCGCTCAATATGTAACACAAAGGGTTAACAATTGTTGGTGTTTACCATACGTCCCGCCTCTAACCTCGTATTGCTCATCAATTGGTTCTACCGTTATTTTGGTAACGTGTGATTGGTCCTCCAGCGCCGCTCTCTCCACTGACTTTGTGGGCGCGCGTCACCGTACAGCTCACGGCAGTTCATGAGGGAACGACACTTACACGCGCGTCACCGTTAGCACTCCACACCGGAGCGCCGAGTGTGAACGGTGAGTCGGTTGGTTCAGTAAATAAGCTAAACAAACACCTGTTGATGTTAGGCTAACTGAATGGCGTTCCTTGGCAACTCTTTGCTAGATAATGAGATGTTAATGAGCTAATACTAGCTGAGCTAAGTTTGGCAACTATTAGATCAATATTATATGCCAGAGAAGATGAAATTCCACTTCACATGCTCCATCAGCAATCATAGATGTCATGTAGTGATGACACAGTTCAAATTAATGTTTGTAGTAAGATGAGATGATATAAACAATTTGAATAAATTAAGTGTAAACACTATAAATAATAGCTCCCTCAGTGACAGTCTTCAGCATCCATGGTGTGTGAAGGAGACACTTAGGAGAATACAGATCCACTGCTCCCAGTAAAAACACCAACACTGAGTCATATTTATGTAATAGATAATGGGTGTAAGTGCAACATTTTGCACACACTTGTATTATAATGATTTTGGAGCATTTACATTTTTGTTGATTTACTTTATTTATGTTTAACATGATGAAGCTGACCAACTTGTGTTGACATTATGGCTGTTCTTTAGCCTATACATTCAGATGTTGTTTAATGAATTACACAATTGTAAAACATACAGTATGTTTTCCTCAGGCTACAACAGTCAAAATCTATGACTGTTGCATCTCAAATTGTCCCACTGTTCACATGTCTTGCATCAATATATTTTTTGTCAGATGACAAGTAGTAGAGAGACTGGAGGAGATGGAAGAGATGGAGGAGGAGAGGCAGGAAGAGAGACAGAAAAAAAAAAAAAATTGATTCATGCATAATATATGTTTTTACCTGATATTAATATCAATTCGGATCACTGTTACCAACCCAAGTGCAGACCGCAGGCTGGTACTGAAGTTAAGCCCCTTCGGAGTATACTGTTATTGTTGTTATTATAGTTTACCCTGGGAAGCACATACGGACAGATGTGGTGAAGTTATCAGTGTATATTCATGTAACTGATAACATTAGAGAATACATTAACCAAGACATTCTTGTATTTAGTGTAGATATCTAAATATGCATTATAAAGCAGTGATCAGTTTCACATGACGTGAAATTGCATTAAAAAATCATCAATGTACAGGTCGCACTTTTATGTCCCTACCAATGTGAAAATCAGACCTACGCCCTTGGAGCCAAAACAAAAAAAAGTCCCTGTTTCAATGCGCAATACACCTCCCGACCGCTGCATTGGATGTTGGTGGCGCTGTGGCCCAATTGACACCGGGATTGGAAGAAGAAGAAGAAGAAGAAGAAGAATGATTTCCCCCGCTCTTTTCAGGTATGTATGTTAAGTGTTTGCGCTCTTAAACTTGAAGTAACGTTTGCATATTTGTTTTTTGTGTGTTGTGAGATCATTTAAAGGCATCTGAGAGCTTTGTGCATATTATTTTGAGGTTTCAATGCAGCTGTAAAAGTATACTGTAGGTTGATGCCTAATTAATTTTGTCTGTTTTATCGATATAAAACCATTCCTCTATGCTGCTTTATAATTGTATATTAATTACTGTATAGTAGTATATACAAATTAGAATAATTTGTTATGTATGTATAAAGCATCATATACAGTGGGTGCGTACATTTTGTTTTAGACAAAATTAATTATCAACCTTTACTCATCTTTCAAAGGAATGTGAGATGTTTTTCCCACTGTGTTCTTGGTTCATTCTTCATAGGCAACAGGGTTAAGTCTGTTCATGAGGCTTGCCACAATTGCAACGCTGGTCCCGGTGTTACCCCACTCCAATGCAGATGCAGAGAGAGAGAGACTAAAACCAGGAACAGCCTGGCTCTGGATGGAACCCTGTCATCAATAATGACAATAAAGATGGTTGGCCTGGAGTCCTGCTTCACGTGGGAGCCCTCCCCAGAAATCATCAAGGCCTCAAAAAAGGTCACTAGCAAGTACAACAAAGCACACAGATCTTAAGGACTTTGACAGTAGCCTCCCTCTTTTGGGAATTGTTTGTATAAATGGTTAAACTTTAATTTTTTTTTTTTTTTTAATTTAAATTGGTATTAGCTGCATGTAGTTTGGAGATGTTCAAAAATGTCACAATAACATGGCTTTTGGGGGTTTTCATTTTTATTTAAATGTTTCTTGCATGATGTTGCATATCTGTTTACTATTTGATTACTTTATTTTTATACAGAATCCCAGAGTAAACATGCACAAATTTGAGCCGTGCTGTGTCTTGTGTCGTACTGTTGGGTCAGTTGGTTCAATTGGTACACTCTGAGTTAGGCTAATACATTGAGAACTACTGATGTATAGAGTGCCAAAGTCACGCCCCTTCCGGTGAAGCTCATGGGACCTTAGATCGGAAAAAAATATGAATGGCAGTGAATGGGGAGAGCAATATTATCTTTTGTTCCCATTTGAGTTGCGACATGAAATCTAAATATGTTGTTAATGAATTTAAAACATAAATTTTAAGCTCAAGAAAGTCATACTTTGTGGTAAAACTGTTGAGATATAAGCTTTTTAATTAGAAAGACTCAAGAGTACACAGGAGGAGGTCGTGTATGTGACGTCATAGCTTTCGCTGGCTTCCTGCAGCTTGGCCTCCCCGCTGAAATTCCACTGTTTTATGATTAATCAATTTATGATTGAAGATGTCTGTCTGTTTTGTTCCAGGTTGCAGTCACTCAAAGCTGCTGGAAGCGAGCGAAAGCTATGACATCACATACGCGACCGCCTCCTGTGTAGTTTTTCTAATTGCGTTTTTTTCAAAAGCTTATATCTTAACAGTTTTACCACAAAGTATGACTTTCTTGACCTTAAAATTTATGTTTTAAATTCATTAATGACATATTTGGATTTCATGTCACAACTCAAACGGGAACAAAAGATAATATTTCTCTCCTCATTCACTGCCATTCATATTTTTTCCGATCTAAGGTCCCATGAGCTTCACTGGAAAGGGTGTGACTTCGGCACTCTATGGAAAATGGTATATTTAAAAAAAACAACAACAACAACAAAAAAAACGTTTTTGTTGTATGGTAATGATGCTGAATGGACCATACAAAAAATTGCAGTGTATGTGGCAAAATTTTGGTTGGCCCCACCAAATCTCACTCCAAGGTTTTTTGAAAAGTTGGCAGCCCTGAAGTTAGCATGTTGTATTTGTTTGGAGAACGTGGTAAGTGTGACAGTTGTTTTGTCGGTGAATCTTGTGAGCTGTAATGGAGCCAAACTATGTGCCATTACCTGTGTTACATGTTGCTGTTGTCCCTGGTTTTTTATGAGAAGAGAAAAAGATCGCTAGACCCTAGGCTAGTTTATACAATGTAAAATGCCATAGACTTGTGCTAATAACGTTAGCATGTTGTCTTGGTGGGGGAAATGTGTCCAGATAAAGACAAGTGTTTGTCTGTCAGTTCTGCGATTTATAGTGAAGCCAATTTGCTTACTTGTGTTTGAAAATGTCTCTATTAAGCCATATTTAATGTGTGTTTTGAATCAACTATATAAATAAAGTTTGATTTGAACTAAACTTTACAGCACTTAACACAGTCCTCCACTGCTGACTAGTGTTTTGGAGGTGTAACTGCAGAGTGACACAGACACCACCACACAAGTAAAAATAACGTGCACATTTTTTTTCCCCACTACTAATTGATTAGTTGAAGATTATGTGCGACTTTAGTCGACCAAGATTTTCTTTGGTTGACTACAGCCCTAACCGATATATACCTTAACCCTAGTGTGGTTTAAGTTTCCACTGCAGACAGTGCTCTTAATGTTGGCAGGGTTGTTACATTCTGGTTTTAGCCGCATCAACCACGAAAGTAGCGTGACATCATATCTAATGCGACACAAGAAACATATCTCAGGAAACACTATATGGCTATTACAAAGAGACAAGCTTCGTTTGAGAAAAGGCTCAAGGCGACGAAGAAGACAACCACCTGTGGGCGAGACAACAAAGATGGCACAAGAGGGTAAGCTAACCTAGGCTTTTGTGTCCTTTGTTACAATTGAGTCATCCGCTGTAATGTACTTTAACGAGCTAAAGTTGCTTGTTAGCTTGATAGAAACCAAACAGCCCAGCAGTATAAAAGTTACAGTAAGTTGGTTAGTCAAAGCAAGCATTATACATCATGCGTTGTACTTGTTAGCCATCTTCTGGCTACTGAGTGGGTTATTGTGACAGCATATCTCACTATTCTCTGAATTTTTCGAAGTGAACCAAACAATCAATAGATCAATAGAGAAAATAACATACACATTAATAATGAAAATGTTCATCAGATACAGCTTTACAGAAAATAGTTATAACTTAGCTTCACATCAGCAGGCTGCAACAGTGAAATCCTTTTTTCTGATTATACTAACATTATACTGTTACTTAATAACTCCCCACTAATCACACCACTATGCGACAGTTGCTGTTACTACTGCTGTTGGCTGCATTATTCTGCATTTTGCGTGCAATGCTTTTGTACAGTTTCTGTGTATTATATACTTAACTTACACACGTATCCATTTGTTCTCTTTGATTTTCTCTATTAATCTATATCTATTTTGTCCTTGTGCTGCTGTAACACTCGAATTTCCCCTCTGATGGGTGAATAAGTAACATTTATGTTAGTGAAAAGTGATGTAGCATTTTCTATGCAGGACTGGAGTGTGGAGTATTTTTACATTGTGGTACTAGTACTTTAGGATCTGAATATTTCCTTTACCACTGCCATTGCTCACTACATGTGCTGTGTATGTGTTTTTCAGATCACGCACCTGTTCTAAAGTCCTGCAACAGACTAATAGTTTGGGCTTTCAACCAAGCCAACAAGTGGTGGGATGTGATTGTGCTTGGGTGGGTGCAGAATTTCAGGATGTCCAAATGAATATTTCTGCACTCGTGTAACAAGCTATGTCCAGCGATGGAGAAGAGAGTGTGACAGTTCTGTGAGCTGCAAGCATGTTGTTGGTTCCAGATCACACTCATTTTCTAGAATGAGAAAAACTTAAAGAAATGGCAGCCTACATTGACAACAGCTGGGGGCCTCCACAGTGTATTGGTGCAATTGATGGGTCACACATACCCATTTTGGCACCGCAGAAGTACCAGTGTGACAACTTCAATCGTAAAGGCTGGCATTCCATCATCCTTCAAGAAGTTGTAGATGGAAAAGGACTGTTGTGGAGTGTATATTCAGGAATGTTTGGGAGTTTGCACAATGCTCGAGCTCTAATACTGTCAACATTTACCCCTTTTCCACCAAATCAGCTTGGTGCTATCTGGTTAACTAGCCTGCATTACCCCATTGTTGAGCAAAACCATTATAATCAAGGATGTGTCATCAGCAGAGGGCCTTGCACAATGGACAATGGAAGTAAACAATGGTAGCAAAATGGCAGATTACATTAATTACCTGGAAGCTTTTGTTCTGTTAGAACACATTTGTTTTTAGATAGATACACTTTATTATCCACCTCAGTGGAAATTTGTCTTTGGTGTCTTTCAAACAGTAAAAGGACATACAAACACATAACATGTACAAATATACAAATACTATGTTGTTGTTTTTTTACCCAAAAAACAAGCATAGACCAACTGTTAATGAGACTACTGCACACTTTTTGATGATTTCTCACTTGACTTCCCCATTGCTGCCTTCTCCATCCTCTCATTCCAACCTGTAGAATATAACACACCCAGTGATGTCACTATGACTCGCACTTCAAGGCCAAGAAAACCCTGTTGAGAATCAAGTTTTTGGGTTCTGAACCAATTTTATTTTGGTCAAAATGCTCTGGATGTTTCAAATTTAGTTGCAGGAACAAGAACGCAAACCGTTCCATGTTGGTGGAAAAGGCGTAATTGTGGGAGCTGTTTAAACCTGGTAGCTTTTTCTCAACATTGGTGGATTGAATTTTTGCTATTACATCCTAGTGGATTCTGCCTTTCTCTTGCAGAAATGGCTTCTGAAGCCATTCCCTGATATTGGGTGGCTGACAGTATAACAACAGATGTACAATAAAAAAAGTGCAGAGCACTGATACCTGGAAAAATCTATAGTAGTGTCTGTCCTTCATCTCTCTCTGTCTCTGTCTCTCTCTATGTATCATTTTGTCATATGGAATACTGTAAATTTATTATGTTGATCTGGTCTGTACGATATCTGTTGCACGTCTGTCCGTCCTGGAAGAGGGATCCCTCCTCAGTTGCTCTTCCTGAGGTTTCTACCATTTTTTTCCCCGTTAAAGGGGCTTTTTGGGGGTGTTTTTCCTTATCCGCTGTGATTGTCCAAAGGACAGAGGGATGTCGTATGCTGTAAAGCCCTCTTAACCAAGGGTGGCTCTGGCACAGAGTGCTGGGGAGGAGGGCAGGGATATACAAGAGGGTCTGATGCACTACTTGAGTAGTTTATACTAATACAGCATATCTCAACTGTTCCAACCACAGGGTCCATATTTCTTTTTAGTCATTATTTTAAGGTCCACACTGGTTAATATATTTAACATCATACTTGGGTTTGGGTTGTCGAGCTAGTTTACCGTCTCTGTCAAGTTGCTATCCATTAGTCACTCACTCTACAGCAGGAAACGACACTTCAAAATAAAAGCATTGTGCCAGAAATTCACTGTACTTAAAAATTAAGTGTGTTTTTTATAACCTTACCAGTTTGTGAGTCACCTGTGGTCTGTTCAAAATGGCCCGCAACCCACATTCACTTTTGGACCGTGATCCACCCAGGGGCAAAAATCCCATTTCAGTGTTGGGGGGGGGGGGGTAAACAGTAAAATTTTAGAGAATAATTCCAGGGGGACAAGGAAAAAAAGTTGTATCCTGTCTTTTATATAGCATCTTTAACCGCAATTTGATGCTTTAATCTTCTCTCTGTCTCTCCAACAGGTAGACATAGGACCTTTCTTAGCACTGGCTGAGTCCACCTGCACATGTCTAGATTTAAAACAAAATGATTGAAATCAAATTAACATGTACACATCGACAACAGTCAGGTGTGCTTTGCTGTCCAAGGTGCTGAGTGTGTCTGGAGCAGAGCAGGTCTCTGTCTCCCCGTGCGCAGTAGTGTGAATATTTATGCTATGAAGTAAACGGAGAAAACATGTCTCTCATTATTTAATAGCAGCAAAACAATAAGGCTTCATTCATCCAAGACAGAAACTCGGATCTCTCACTTTCTCTCCCTCTTTTTTCTCTGGCTCAGGTGTGTGGAATGGATCCTTCGTCTCTGGCTGGCTGCAGGAGCAAACCGTTTTTTTCCCTTGTTTTTTTACCTGCAGTGAGATCATAACTTTAAAAAATGTTTGAAAGAAAAGTAACCAAAGAAAATGTGTAATACTGAATATTTCATTTGTTTCCAAGGTATTTTGAATTTTGAAACCTGTTTTATTGACCTGTTCGTAATAAATAACCTTTTTTTGGACTTTAAACATTTATCTCAGCGTTGCAAGTTATTGATAACGAGAGAGTCAAAACTCAAGCCAGCAGCAGCCACATGTAGAAAAGTGGATATACAGTGAATGTCTTTACTTAAGAGAAATGGCTAAACAACTAAACATTTCCTGCAATTAAACTGGTAAACTGGTTTATAAATAGTGTGCTGTGAGATCTGCCGCTGCGCACCTCACAACCGTGTGTAATAGTCGCGCGTAATGACCGCTCCTCATCGGTTAAACTGCACGTCTTTCATTTTTGTCTCACTGACAGGTAGAGAGCCTGCAGACAGGTACCCATTAGCTACGAGCCGCTCCGCCACTGACTGCTCTTGTCCTGTCCTCTCCCTCTTCTTTCTCTCCTGTCCTCTCTATCACTAAACTCTGAGCTTAATCATTAGCTTTTAGCTTAGCAGCACTCATAATTGAGCAGGCTTTTGAACAATGCAGGAGAAATGTTGTAGACAGTTTATATTATCAGTCTGAGCCTGGGGCTTGTTGTAATAGTAAATGGGATGTTTCGTAACTTGTGTAAGTTAAACTGTGTCTGTGTGAGTGTACATCTTACCCCGCGATGTGGGCAGCCGGGTCCAGCCTAGCCCCTCCCGTTGGAAAGAGTGTGGGATATACCACTACTAGGAATGGGAGGGGGGGGACTAAATCTTTTAAGATTTAAATAGCACATTATTGCGCGATTATAATGAGCACTGCTTACATTGTGCTTTTAATAAATTCTACTGCATTGTTCAAAAATTATTAATTGTGTCTCAAATTATTCTAGGGGGGTACAGCTTTACTTGAGAGGGGGGTCATGTCCCCCTTGTCCCCCCCGGGATTTCCGCCCCTGGATCCACCAGTTGGGAACCACTGTACCAATTCACAAATCTTTGTCAGTACTGTTTTTGAAACCATGGCACAACTTGCAGTTGTAATGACCACAAATATATTGTTTTAAACAATGACTTTGTGGCTCTTTTTTAAAAAATTGCTTGGATTTTTAATAAATGCTTGAAACTGCTTGGAATTGTATCTGCCATTACTATTGGCTCAGCCAGATTATACAGGATCAATTAGGGATGCACCGAATATTCGGTAACCGAATATATTTGGCCGAATATTGCAAAAAACACACATTCGGTATTCGGTGGAATAAGCTAAAAGCAAGGCCGAATAATAGCGACGTGTTTTGATAACGCAATCAAACAGCGTGCCGTGGCGCGTGGAGTAAAATGTCGGCAGTGTGGCAATCCGTCCGTCACCGCACTCGCATTTGCGACTAAAAATAGTTTTGAGCGAGCAAAATAGGCTTAAATCATTCAGCATGCTGTGCGAGCAGCCTACAGATTTCAACCAGCAGCAGAAATGAAAGGCGAATCCCATCGATTGTGGGTTGAATGGGGGTCAAAGACACAGACAGGAATGTATTCCTGTCAAATACGGCGGCCATCAGGTAAACGTTACCAGCGACGGAGAAGTCGGCTCCAATAATATCCTCTTCTTGGCGTGTGGACTGCCCAGAAGTACCTGAACAGCCAAGCCAGCCGAACACAGACCGTACGTGATGTGTCAGAGGAGAAACGAGCCGTTCACGGTCCACAAACCTCACCACACTTTAGGGACTGTTCTTTACTTATGAAGGGACTTGTCAGGGGAGGAGGGTGGCTGGTTGATTCTTATTTTATTTATTTATTTTATTTTGATTCCCCTATGTTCATCACTGATTGATGCTGTTTTTGAAGTATGAATAAGTCAATAAGTAATTTATTCCACTGAAATATCAGTGATGTATTATAGAAAAGTGATTTATCTTTTCATAAATGACAAAAGGTACATCTGCCTCATTTTCGCTGTGGTATCGTGATACTATTCAGATCCGTGATACTTTCACTGGTATCGTACAGTGGGATCCAATTTTGGTACCGTGACAACACTAATCTGGAGGGGGTTCATCTGCAAAAACTAATGAAAAACTAAACAATGATATTCGGTACTCGGTATTCAGCCAAGCGTTTAATATTATTTGGCTTCGGCTTCGGCCACAAATTTTCATTTCGGTGCATCCCTAGGATCAATCAATCAATCAATTTTATTTATAAAGCCCAATATCACAAATCACAGTTTGCCTCACAGGGCTTTACAGCATACGACATCCCTCTGTCCTTAGGACCCTCGCAGCGGTTAAGGAAAAACTCCCCAAGAAAACGGGGGGAAAAAATAGTAGAAACCTCAGAAAGAGCAACTGAGGAGGGATTCCTCTTCCAGGACCTACAGACGTGCAATAGATGTCAGGTGTACTTATAGAGAAGTTACACATTTTAAAGCATAAACTTTTGTGTTTTCCTCTAATTTGTCACCCATCTGTAAAATGCTATCATGAAATCTGATTTTGGTAGTTTATAGCACAATAACATCTGATTTAATGTGATGAAGTGAAAATTATTTTGTATATCCACATATATGTATATAAAAAATGTAATTTACCACAGCTCTAGGTGCAAGAAACTTTTGAAAAAGCTTAAGAAGTGCGTGACTATGGAAAGAGTATACAAACCTGGTTTTATAGAATAGAACATAAATGCATATGGTAAAGAACTTAATATGAAAAAGGGAAAAAACGGCAGCGCTCAGCACAGGAAAACAGATTTGCACATACAAACATTACTAAAACAGTCAAATATAAATAACAATCTACATGTGCAAATACAAATTAGTGCAACACATACAAAGGTGCAGAAAGGCCAAACAACTAGTAATATGCTTTTGCCAGCTGTACCAAGTGTAATGCCCAGGATATGATGCATCTAGTCATTAGATGAAGTACTGGACATACTCAGCTGCCCCACAATGCATTTCTCTCTTGAGACAGCGCAGCAGCCTCTAACGGGAGATTTTGAGCCAGGCAAAAAGCTGTTAATATGTCACTTTACGAAGTTTTAATATTTACTCAGGCACAAAGGTAATCTCTTAGATTCCCAATATGTGGTCAGTAAATCCAAATGATGCCTGTTTGGAGAATTGTGACGTTTTTGGAGGTATGGAGCAGCTGGCGGGGTCGGACTAGCTGTCAGACATGTGACACAGTCATGGTGCTTTAGTATAATTAATAATATTTAGCCCCCAGGAACGTAGCTCAGCTTGCTTCCAGTTTTTCCCAGATTGAGTAAGTAGTAGGCAGTGCGTACGTGTGAGATTACAAACACTGCCATTCACTCCAGACCCAGCGGTGTCTTCTTACTCAGTTTCACCAGGTGTTGGCAGGAGGAGGATGAACAGCTCACCTCCCAGCCCTCCGTTAAACTGCTGGGGGCTAATTTAAGCCTAGTTTAGACCAAAGATTTGCAAAGAGACTAGTTGAAACTACTCACAGCTTGCAGCTACTCGCAATGTCCCGTTCTGTAACGTTCTAAAAACCTCCCAGTTCATCTCTGTGCAACAAGTCTGTATTTCCATTCTGGTGTCCAGCTTTTCAGGCTTATTTTGTGGCCATATATAATATGTAGCTTTTTAAAATATGAAAGAGGATAGTCACAGTGAGACACTGGCTACAGTTGCATTTGAAGTAGTGATTAAACTGTGAAAAACAAACAAAATGAGCATTAGATGGACTGTATTCATAATAAATACACCACAATAATATAAATAACCAGCACCAATTAATCATCCAGTGAGAATGTGTGTGTCTGTGTGGGGGGGGGCATAAGCACATACAGCAAGCAGCAGCAGAGACCCACTGGGCACACCGTGAGGCCGGAAACAGAAGGCTCAGTGGGGACAGAGCACCTGCTGTAGCAAGCGAACACACCGTCTGCGGTCATTTTGACTTGACCAGTGGACTTAATTACAAGCTGATTGATTTAGACACAGTTGACCAGCCTCAGGTTCTAAAACCAGCCGCCGGCAATTTGACCAGCTGAGTTGCAGTTGACACCATCAGCTAGCTTGAGTCAGGCTCAGACCGGCCAGTTCACACTGCTGCAACTTGTCTCTGCAGCATTCTAAAATGGTTTCATCTTCTTGTTAATCTTTGGTTTGAACTGGGCTTGAGGGATCTCCAATGTATTACTGTTTAAATAACACAAAACCAGTGTTTGTTTAATACTTTCATTCTGACTTGCCAATATTAGTAAAATTTATGAAAAAACAGCACAGCACACCTATTGTCTTCATCAAAGTGTAATTCTTTTATTTTAGATAAATATTTTGATAGAAAATAATTGCCTTTTTTTTATTTTCCTTTTTTCAGTGTAATGTGTCCCAGTGACTCAAATTTAATATCAAAATGTATGACTACACAGAACATAACTTTTCATATGGGATTTTACTGCTTCTCTTTTTACAAAAAAATATTTTTCATGAAAAATCTTTTTGTTTTTCCTCAGTAACATCCAGTGGCACATTTATACTGAGCAAAAATTTTAATATAAAATTGAAATAGCAAACAAATCCCATGTGAATAGGCTTAACCTGTGCAGTGGTATATTTGGATATTAACTTTAAATGGGTCACATGACATGTCATTTATTGAAAAAGAATTGTGATATTTTGGTAATGTTTGACATTATCAAAGAAGTCCTAATATGATAAGAAAAATAATCAATAATAGGTTTGTAGAGAAGCTGCTCAAAATGTTCTTCTGACCATATATAATCTGAAGTGGTTTCACTGTACATGACTCTAATTTTGGTTGGACCAGGGCACGGTGGAAGTGCAGAGAAAGAGAGACCAGTACACCAAATAGTGATGTAAAAATGTTTCTGGTGCTGGTTAGAAAAACATTGATGCGTGTAATTTTAAAAGTTCACGGCACCAATGTGTGTGCACAGAGAAAGTATTCTGAGCCCTGTAACACGAGACCATTTAGGCAGTTGCTCAAGTTGTCAAGTAGTCAGTGTGCACTTACTACTCAAAGGTTAAAAACAAATGTTGAACAATGTACAACTGTACCTTTTGATTTAATATGATTTGTAACTGTACATCAAATAAGTATCATCTTAAATGAGCAGTGTGGAGAATTAAGGGGCTTTCTATTAGCAGAAATGGAATTTAATATTCATAATTATATATTTATAAGTGTATACTCACTTGAAACTACAAACTTTTTCCTGTTAGCTTAGGATTAGCCCTTCTTATCTGGGTGTGGGTCCTGTTTATGAAGCCCACCTTCTTGTACTGCCATGTCTCTACAGAAACCTAGAATGGACAAACCAAACACTGGGTTAAGAGAGGGCCTTTCACGTTTTACATTAGCAGAATACCAGCATAGGTTCTACTGTACTCTTGGAAAGGGAGGAGTAGGGGGAGGGGTTTCAGTGGGTTGCAGTGTGCAACTTCAGCGCTAGATGTCACTAAATCCTACACACTGCTCCTTTAAGTATGCTGTTGCAGATCTTTCTTGTACAGCACTATAACATGAATTCTGAATACTCTCAGCCCCACTGTAGCAGTTTCTCCATAGACCGTAGTACAGTGATTGCTTTGGGAGGCAGCCAGCAGATCGTCCCTCCTGCACAACAACCACATATTCAGGTCCCACAGTGGAATCCCGCTCCTGTGGAACATCATCTTCCAGACAGCAGGTATATGTGTGTTTGTGTTAATGAAATGTTTTGTGTAAGTCCAAGCAGGAACAGTTGCACTCATTTTGAATTTGCTGTTGTTTGAAACAAATGCATGCTGCTTTTCAGTGAACAAGCTGGTGAAGAATTCCTGAGATGCATTGCAGCCAACAAGCCTCTCCCAGACTATCTTAAAGGAAACATGGCATACAATCTGGCTGAAGCTTTTAAGTCAGCTAACGTCCTGAAAGAAGCAGTCAAATTAGACCCTGAGTTCCAGAAGCAAGCGACCAGAAGCAAAAGCCGTAGTCGAAGCCGCGGCAAATCTAGAGCCAGGAGCCATGCCAGAAGCAAAAGCCAGGTACCCAGCAGAAGCAGAGGAAGGAGCAAAAGTCGTGCTCGTGGAAAGAGTCGAGCAAGAAGCAAAAGCAGGGCGAGAAGCAAAAGCAGGGCAAGGAGCAGGAGCAGGGCTCGCAGTAGGAGTAGGAGCCGGAGCCGGGGCGAGAAGAAGAGTCGTGTTAGGAGCAAGAGCCGGGCCAGGAGGTCCAAGTCAAGAAGCAGCAGTGGTGAAAAGAGCCACGGCACAAACAAATGGAGAAAAAGGAGCCCCAGCCACAACAGCAGCAGTGTTAGCAGTAGTAATAACCTCATGGGGAATAGTCTGTTAGAAGGACTGAAGCTGGTCATGAACAGCAAAGAACTGGAGGAGCGGTTGCCCACACTCAAGGATGCTATCCTTACTATTCAGGTAGAGCACATGATTTTTTGTCCAAAATGCCTTGTTTTAGACTGTTATTAGTGTCTAATGTATGACTACTAGCTTCTACCAATTTCATGGAACTTGATTTTAAAACTTGATAGCTGCAGCTGTTAGTTGGTGGGATGGGGCTGATCTGCCACAGACTGAAAGAGGTGTTAATAAGGTGATGGGGTGTTGCTGTCCTGTGTGTAATGAAATTACGAAATTTGTTTTCAAAGGTCAGTAAGGAATGCAAAGTAAATTACCCCAAATATAACCATTTTGTATGCACAAAATGGGCCTTGAAACATGTGTATGCAAGTTCAAACAGGTAAGTTTGGATTTAAAAAAACAAACTTGAAGGAAAAAGGTGCACACTTGTACAGAAACTCTGACCCATTCATACAAACATTTTGGAAACAGCAGATGCAGTTGGCTAGATAGTGAATTGAAGCCTAAGTCTATAAAGATCCTTTTCATTTCACTTCAAAAACTATTACTTATATATACACTTAAGCCATAGGTGTTACACTGTGTTTGTGTGTAGACACTAATTATTCCACAAGCACCTCAACCCAACCCAGATCATAACCATTTACTTCTTGGATGTGAGGTGCCATGTGATGCCTACACTGGGCTGCAGTAGTGGAGCCATTATACAGCCCCTCCAGAATGTTGCAATGTTGCAATCGCAACAATTAACGCAAATTCAGACAATTGCCGTAAATTCAACCTTGCAATTTAGATTATTTAAAATGTATAAAATGTGAATTCATTGTAGAGCTGCTTGCAGCGTCTTGATTTGCTTTGAGACTGCTGCTGTGGGACCGGAGCTCTGTTTCTGGGACAGAGTAAAAAACATACAGTGACAACGCTAACTTTTAGCATCACATGGCTATCCTTACCCTTTTTTGTTTCCTGATTGATTGTCGGAGATTAGCTGTTGTTGCCCCCTATCCCCCCCAGCACCACCATCACAAATATATTCTGACAGAAACATTAAATGCTTATAATAATAAGCTCAGAATCTGAGACACTATGACAAATATTTTTGCAACTACAACTGGCCCTGCTATTTCATTGCAAAAATGCCTGTAAACATTGTAATATGCATCGCAAGATGTTAGAAAATCTGCTGTGTTATCCGACACTTCAGGCTGCAACACTCCCAAAAACAAACTACGAAATTCTCGAGGGACTTATTATAGAGCTGCTGACGAAAAACTATTTTACTACCTGACATGTAAGCACATAGGACCTGTTGCTATGCATGGTTGTGTGGAGATGTCCAAGTGAAAGAGCTGCCTTATTGAAAGCACTCTGAGCCATTAGGGTTTGGTGCATCTCTCCAGTTAGAAGGCAAGGTTAGCAATTCAAGTCTCTGCCCCACAGACTGAGCCGCTGTCGTCAGTTTCATTGTATCAGTCATCCAACTGGAGAACAGTGCATTGAAATAATTGTACAATAGAAAGTTTTAAGTTGATGATGATCCTTAATAGAAAATTGCAGAAGTGTGTGTACAGTGTAGAAAAATGTGATTATCCCAGTGGGGGATTAGTGCTGACTGTGCTGTACTGCACTGCATCAATGGACAGTGCACTACCTCATGCAAGCACTAGATAAAAGAAAAATAAAGTTTTGATCTGACCAGCAAAGACTTATAGACTCATTTTCCAAAACATTTAATAATTAGCAAAGCGAGCTAAAGTGAAGGAGCTACCATTTGTTAAGTGTATGTCATTGCTATGATCTCTTCTGCACAGGCCTCAGATGAAAGCAAAAAAGTGGAGAGCATATCTGATGAGCACAGACACCAGCAACATGACTATGAAGAGAATTCAACATCGTTGGAAAATGACATGCTCCTTCCTCATGACAGAACAGGCAGTGACTTCTCTTGGCTTCAAGGACAAAGTCAGGAGGACTCTGCAGTCCTGAAAGCTGAGGAGCTTGAAGATGAAGAGTCATTCTTGTATGGGAATGAAGACACTGGAGGAAAACAAGCTAGTAAAACTTCCACAGCACTTTTTGCAGCATTTTCCCAGATTGGAGAACACACCAAATTACAGGAAACGGATTGTTCTGGCAGTCAGCATTATCAGAGCAAGTCCATATTCAGTAGTGCTGGGGATCCATTTGACCTGAAGCAACCTTTTCATATGACTCCCACAAGCATAGCTAATCTGGACAGCAGTGAGTGTGAGAAGATCAAGAACATATTAAAAAGTCTGGGCACAGCAGACATCAGCGAGGTCATGGTAAAGATGCAGGGTCAAAAGGAGGGGAAGAAGCTGAGTCCTGCACTTCCTGCGTCAGACCGAGCAGCAGCAGGCTTAGCATTACCAGCACTGAGTAACATCAATGTACGGCAAGCTCTGGAGTCTTTACAGTCACTGATCAAAGGTGAGAATCCATTTAATCCATTTAAGTCAGAAATTATTTTTTAGATTTTATTTGTACTAACCATACCTTCACATCTTCATATTGCAGACAACTTTTTTAACTTGAGTTAATTATTTTGAATTACATTTGATGATCCCAAAAGTGTATGTATGTGTGTGTGTGTATCTATATATGTGTGTGT